TATCAGACTCTATTGAGGTGTCACTCTTAATATCAGACTATATAGAGGTGCTCACTGTTAATATCAGACTATATAGAGGTGTCACTGTTAATATCAGACTATATAAAGGTTCTCACTGTTAATATCAGACTATATAGAGGTGTCACTGTTAATATCAGACTATATAGAGGTGTCACTTAATATCAGACTATATAGAGGAGTCACTGTTAAAATCAGACTATATAGAGGTGATCACTCTTAATATCAGACTATATAGAGGAGTCACTCTTAATATCAGACTAACATTGAGGAAAGAATCGTAATTTATTTTTTCTGCCAACTGGAGAGTTTGACTTTTAATCCGAGTCCAAATCCCTGACTGTCCGGCACCTTGGGCCGTCCTCCCGACGTGAAAGGCGCTATACAGCTGTAATATTGTGTTGTATTATCTCTCTTTGCCAGGAACGTCCGCCTGTCCCAATGGTAACTTCCACTGTACCAATGCTGGCTTCAGACCTCGCTACATTCCCGCTTCCCGCGTGAATGACGGCATTTGCGGTAAGAGTTCTCTCCCTCGGGTTTGTACTGTGATGTAAAACCCCCCCATTCATTTAGTCTCCTACTTACCCGTCGTTGTACGTTCCACGTTTACGATCTGAATGGCATCAACTTGACTCCCTGGAAAGCATCTGAATCTTCTTGTTCGACGCTGTTTTGACTCGTAGGACTGTTTTCTGTGCATAGTGGCAAAGTATTTGTTCCTTTCCATCTCTGCAGATTGCTGCGATGCCACCGATGAGTACAACAGCGGCATTGTCTGCGACAACACCTGCAAGTAAGTAGCTTGTAATCTCCAAATGAGAGATTTGGGGAGTGAGTGGGAGAGCAGGTGTTAGTGGTTTGCGGAGAAAATCATCAACGCCAGTTTGATGTGATAGAATGGCTTTGTTTCTGTGCTCTTCACAATCCATGACTCAGCCAACCTTTGTTAGGAGAGCAAGTATCCTTGATGGTAATGTATTCTGAATGCGAAATCCTGCTCCTCGACCCCTCTCACTCTGCTTTCAAAATGCACCTCGCAAGCGAGAGGACTTGGGTTTGATTCCTGGGCGGGTCAGGGCGAAAACCTTGGTCAAGTTTCCTTACTCCACTCACTCACTCACACACACACACACACGCGCGTGCGCCAGCGAGCGAGCGCCTCTGTTTACCTAGCAGTAAGTAGGAACCCTTTGTTCGTCGATTATTCGCCCCTCTTTTCTGGGGCGAATAATCCCTTTTAAAAAAAATAGTAATAATAGTCGCTTAACGACTGTTTGCCCGACGCTGCTGCGCGCAATTGGCTGCCGCGTTTCGCCCACAAAAATACACAAGTCGGTTCGCTTGCCGGCACCTCCCGTGATTGGCTTTGAAACGTCCCAACGAGGTGATGAGGCGCTGCTTCAAATGCCAAGGATTACTCACATTGTTGTTAATTCTGTGTATTGGTCTTTCCGCCGATTCTTATAAAAAGAGAACAAGGACGCAAGGAGAAGGAAACCTTACAGCAGATGGCGGAGGTCGCCAAAGAGGGATTCCGAGTGAAACAGCAGCTCATCGAAGAAGCAAAGAGAAGTCGAGAAGATAAGCAGGTTTGCTTTCTCCTCCCTCCCCCACCCCCGACCTTCAATTATCATTTCATTATCTTCCCTCTCCATCATTTTGATGGGCTGCTCTCTCTCTCTCTCTCTCTCTCTCTCTCTCTCTCTCTCTCTCTCAGTCCAAGCTGACCCTCCAATGCTGCGCTGGAGGGAGAGAGAGAGAGTGTCACATTGTCAGAGGCGTCATCTTTCGGGCGAGATGTTAAACCTCACTCAACCTCACTCACTCACTGTGCCCTGCTCAGGTGGACGTTAAAGATCTCCCACAGCGCTGTTGGAAAGGAGGAAAGAGTTTCTCTCTCTCTCTCTCTCTCTCTCTCTCTCCCCTCTCCCGGTATCCTGGCCGACAATCCCTCAAATATAATAATAATAATCCTTGCATTTGACACGGCGCCTGTTCATGCCGTTGAGACGTCTGAAAGCGTTTCACGGAACAGGCTGTAAAGTGTAGCGACTGTATATTTTGTGGGCGAAACGCGGCAGCCAATTGCGCTCAGCGGCGTCCCCACAAACGGTCGTGGATTTGAGCGACCACGTTTTTTTTTTTGAAGGAATTATCACCCCCTCGGAAAGCGATCCTCTGGTTCCTGCTTTCTGCTGGGTAAACAGAGGCGTGTGTGTGTGTGTCTGTCTGTCTGTGTGTGTGTGTGTGTGTGTGTGCGTGCGTGGAGTAACAAAACTTACCAAGGATTCGCTCTGACCTGACCCGCACGGGAATCGAACCCGGATCCTCTCGCTTGCGAGGCGAGCGCTCTTAACCACTGAGCCACGGGACTACACATGAATAGTCGGCAGACTGTTTCGACGGCTGGAGCTGAATGCTGGTCTGCCTGATGCACACCCGTGTCTGTATCTAAATTATCATGACTATTTACTTATTATTCCTGCTTCCCCCAGAAAAAGCTGGAAGAGCTGGCGAAGAGCAAGACCACTTGGGAATCGCAGGTGGAGTTACTGAAAGCGGAGAAGGACGCTGCCGAGAAACCGGAGAAGGAAGCCAAGGACAAGCATCACAAAATGTGGGAAGGTAACTCTGCCAGAGGCTGTCACAAGGACTAATAATAATAATCCTCGCAGTTGATACAGCGCCTGATCACGACTTCGAGACGTCTCGAAGCGCTTCACGGAATACGCTGTGAAGCAAATCGACCGGATCTTTTGCGGGCGAAACGCATCAGCCAATTGCGCACGGCAGCGTCCCCGCACGCAAACAGTCGTGGATCGAAGTAACCCAAAATAATAATTCCTGGGATAACTGCGCCCGGAAAGCGATCGGCTTAGTTTGTTGAAGCGCTCGCCTCCCAAGCGAGAGGACCCGGGTTCGATTCTCGGGCGGGTCGGGGTGAAACGGTTTCCTTACTCCACACGCGCGCGCGCACGCACGCCTCTGTTTACCCAGCAGTGAGTAGGGACCCGTTCGATGGTCCATTGGCTTTTCCGGAAGGTAATAATCCCGACGAAACAGCCACAACAAATAACGATCAGAGTAAATTGGTCACTCCATCCGCGGCGGTTTGTGGGGACGCTGCCGGGCGCAATTGATCTGGCGCTGTGTCAAATGCGAGGCTTATCATCGTCATCGTTATTATTATTATTATTCAAAACTGCAAAAGAGGCGACGTTGGGTCGGGCAGCGCTGCTGCTAAGACCAACCCGTCGCAGATTTGAGTGCTTGCCAGCCGGCCGCGGGGCTTGTTCCAGTCCACAAGGCGGCGCTAAACTCCCACTACTTGTTCCTCCCTCCGCTTGGGGATGGCTGAGGTCGTGTCGTTCGCGATGCTGTAGCCCCGGAGTCCCGCAGGGAGCTGGTTAAAGCATTCTCCTTGCAGGCCAAGAGACCTGGGTTCGATTCCCCGGGCTGGGTCAAGGCGAAAAGTTGGGCAAGTTTCCTTGCTACACACACACACACACACACACACACAGACCCGCACGCACGCGGGCGCCTCGGTTTACCCAGCAGTAAGTAGGAACCCGGTTGTTAGCCGATTGGCAGATCGCTTTTCCGGGGGGTAATAATCCCTTCAAAAAAAAAAAAAAACCTAAATAATAAATGTTTCGCCCACAACACACACGGTCACTCCACTTTACAGCGTATCCCGTGGAGCGCTTTGAGACGTCTCGAAGATGTGATGAGGCGCCGGGTCAAACGCCGGGATTATCATCATCGTTATTATTACTGCAGAATGAAATCACGCAGCGCTGGACAGTCGGGGATTTGGACCCGAGCTGGTGGTTGGGATAGAGCTGGCGGAGTGGGAGGGTGACCGAAGGCCCCGGTCGAAGAGGAGGGTTTTGAGACGGGAAGGGAAGGGAGGCGGAGGGACTGGGAGCAGTCCGGAGTCCGCTGAGCCGAGGGAGCGGGCTGGGTTGGCATGGAGTTAGCGGGTCGAAGAGGTAGGAAGGAGCAAGGGCGTGGAGGGATGGGGGGGCCAGTGGAACCGGGCGATGATGGGGGACAGGCTTCGCTTTGAGATGCTGGACAAGGGGTGGGGGGTGAGGGGGTAAATGCGTTGACCTCCTTTGCTGCTGGTGTGGAGTTCTCCCTCCCTCTGCTCCCTGAGAAGTGGACGCTTCGAAATCCTTGCGTGCAACCGTCGGGCTGGAAAATGGAGGGTTGCTTGCCAACTGGTAAATAATTCACGCTTCTGAACTGACTCGTGTGAGCAGCAGCACCAGAAGACGACTCAGCCCTGACCCGCAAAATCTCAGCCGCTCGCAGGTAGAGAGAGAACAAAATAAACCCCAAGGTTGCGGCGTGTAATCAAAGCCACGTTAGTAATAATAATAATAATAATAATAACCTGGCATTTAATACACGTCCTCAGAGACCTCTCAAAGCGATTCACAGGACACACTGTAAACTGAATTGACTTGGGCAGAAACCCGGCAGCCAATTGCTCACAGCAGCGTCCGCACAAAACAGTCGACGACTGAGCGACCAAGTTATTATTTCTTTATTTTTTCTTGGAAGGGATTATTACCCCTTCTGCCGATTGACTAACAACCTACTTACCGCTAGATAAACTGGTGCGTGCGTGTGTGTGCGCGCGTGTGCGTGTGTGTGTGTGTGTGTGAGAGCGCTCTGGGACGCCTCCCTGCATTGTCGGTGCAAGTTGTGGTTGTTGTTGAGCTGCCAACGGTTACTTCGACAGAAATCAAAGCTTTGCGGAACCTGGAGAAGGAGAAACTCAGGGCCGCCGAAGCCTTTCAGGAGTTGGACGACGATCAAGACGGCACGTGAGTCCCGTGCGTCCCCGCGTTCGGGTCCGGAATAACTGGCGCGTTTCCGTTAAAGGGAAAGCTTTGAAAATCGTGGGCGAGAAAGACTACTCGAATGCAGCTCCCGAGTCCCTTTACCATCATACGGGAGCCCTGCAGCTCAGCGGTCAGAGCGCTCGCCCCGCAAGCGAGAGATCCGGGTTCTATTCCCGGCAAGGTGAAATGTTGAGCAAGTTTCCTTACTTTTCAGTTAAAACTCCTGATGACTTGTCACCCACAAAATACCCAATCGATCCACTCAGGGGCTCAGGGGTTAGAGCCCTCGCCTCGCAAGCGAGAGGGCCCGGGTTCGATTCCCGGGCGGGTCAGGTCAGGGCGAAACCTGAGGCAAGTTTCCCTTCTCCCCACAAACACACACATACAGACCCACACACACACACACACACACAGACACGCACACACACAGACACGCCGCGGGGATGGGAGGTGATAAGATCGGAGGTGCTGATGGATTTTATCTGCAGTGTTTTATGTTGCCTTTCGTGATCGAGTTGCCCTCTTGTCCTCAGTGTGACCGTGGCCGAAATCCAGACCCACGTCGAGCTGGACAGCGATGCAGACGGTGCCGTGAGCGAACAGGAAGGAGAGGTGAGGCTAACCGGAGGTTCCCCTGATCTGTCTGTCTGTCTGTCTTCCTGCCCGGGTCGGTGAGAGTGAGAGAGAGAGAGAGAGAGAGAGCGTGATGACATTTATACACCGCCTTTCGAGTCCGGAGGACGTTCCCAAAGCACCGGACAGTCCAGTCGGGGGTTTGGACTTGAGCTGGGTGAGAGGCGTGTCTGTGTGTGTGTGTGTGTGGGTCTGTGTCTGTGTGTGTGGGTGTGGGTCTGTGTCTGTATGTGTGTGTTTGTGGGGAGAAGGGAAACTTGCCTCAGGTTTCGCCCTGACCTGACCCGCCCGGGAATCGAACCCCGGGCCCTCTCGCTTGCGAGGCGAGGGCTCTAACCCCTGAGCCTCTGAGTGGATCGATTGGGTATTTTGTGGGTGACAAGTCATCAGGAGTTTTAACTGAAAAAATATTGTTTCTTTCAATCTCCCCCCACCCCCCCCACCTCTCTCTCCCTCTCTCTCTCCCCCTTCTCTCTCTCTCTCTCTCTCTCCCCTCTCTCTCTCTCTCTCTCTCTCTCCCCCCACCTTACTTCCGCCCCCCACCTCCCCAGACGCTGTTAGGAGGCGTCAGTCAAGTGGATGTTACCAGTTTCCAGGAGACGGTGTGGGCAGGTATTAAGGACAAATATAAATTTGAGGTGAGTGCAGTTTAATTGAGTGAATTGCCTTGACGCTCGCTGGCTGTTGGTGCAGAAATGTTGATTTTAATAATAATAATAATAATAATTTTAGTACAAGTTGCTGGTCTTTTAAGAATCCTTCCTTTCGACGTAGCACTTTATCGAGCGAGGATAGAATAATATAATAATCGTCGCATCTGATACAGCGCCTTATCGCGCGCACCCCATCGAGACGTCTCAAAGCCCTTCCCAGAACATACTGTAGAGTGAGTGTAGTGACTTGTGCTTCGTGGGCGAAACTGGGCAGCCAATCGCTCGCGGCAGCCACGGCCCCCACAAACAGTCGTGGAGTGAGCGACCAAATTATTATTGTTTTTGGAAGGAATTATTAACCCCCAGAAAAGCCATCCGCCAATTAACAACCGGGTCCCCACTTGGTGCTGGGTGAACAGAGGCGTGTGTGCGTGTGTGGAGTAAGGAAACTCGCCCAAAGTTTCGCCCTGACCTGACCCGGCCGGGAATCGAACCCGGATCCTCTCGCTCGTGAGGCGAGGGATCTAACCACCACCACAACAACAACTTGCTTTTATAAAGTGCCGCCTTTCGGACTCCCCAAAACGAGGCGTCTGCGCGAGTCGCTCGTAACTCCCGGTCATACATTTTTGCCCGCAAGACGCACAGTCACTACACTCGACGGCGTATCCCGTCAAACGCTTTGAGACGTCTCGAAGACGCGATCAGGCGCCGGGTCAAAATGCCAGGAGTGTTATTGCCGTCGCACACCGGCGGACATCTTGAGCACCTTCCTCTTCCTCTCTTTTTCCCCCCCACCCCCCTCTCCTCCGCGACCGGCAGGTGTCGCCGGAGACCCCAGCCCCCCCCGACGTGCCGGCGGAGGAGAAGACGGAGAATCGGCCCGAGTCCCGTCGCGAGGAGTGGAAGAAGAACGCCGGCGATGATCGCGAGGAGGATGAGGAGGAGGACGACGATGACGATGACGACGAGGGCGATGACGGCGACGACGAGGGTGGCGGGGCCGAGGAGGAGGACGACGAGGACGAGGAGGACAGCGATGACGAAGGGGGCCGGGAACGCTACAAGGTAATTAGCTTCAGGAACGCCCAAATGCGTACGTACGTCAGCAACGACAACGCCACCACCACCAACTTACAGCAATCGTGGCATTCGACACACCCGGCGCCCGATCGCGTCTCGAAGCGCTTCGCCGGCTCTCACCGCCACGTGTGGTGACTGTGCGTTTGGGGGGGGGGGGGGGGGGGGGGATCGTGCAAGCCAGTCGCGCCCAGCGACGTCCAGCCCACAAGCAGTCAAGTCGGGTAAAACTTGCATCTGATGCAGCACCCCCATCGCACAGGGTAGCTCAGCACACATCCAACCCCGAGTCAGAAGGTTGTGGGTTCGATCCCCCACACCCCACCCCCGCCGCCCCAAGTCGGGACCGGGAATCCGTATAGTTTGGGCTCACAGCTCTGCGGTGTGGGGGGTTAGGGAGGTCCCGGGTTTGATTCAGGGTGAAACCGTAGCCAGGTATCATCGCCTCCCTTTCCCCAGCAGTAAGTAAGGCAAGAATCCCTTTTTTACATAAAATAAAACACACAAAAAATTGGCCCCTCAATCCTCGGCCGTTTGTGGGGACGCTGCTGTGAGCAGTTGGCTGCCGGGTTTCGCCCACGAAACGTGCAGTCGACGCGCTGTACCGTGTGTCCCGTGAAGCGCTTTTGAGGCGTCTCGAAGGCGCGAGAAGGCGCTTGTGTTTATTTGGCTCGTTTCATCTTTGATGGGATTATTTTCCCCGGAGCTCGTTCCGCCGATCGACTTGACAACCGGATTCCTGCTCGCTGCTCGGTAAACAGAGGCGTGTGCGCGCGTGGAGTAAGGAAACTTGATGAACGTTTCGCTCCGAGCCCGAGAATCAAAGCCAGGTCCTCTCGCTTGCGTGAACACTGGAGCTACAGGACTCCCATGTAGCGTATGTGGAGTTAGGAGTATTGAATCGGGGCTTGTTTGGGATTCCGATCACCTGGGGTTTTCACCGCGGAGTGACTGGCGTGCCTTTTGTTTCCCTGTCAGGGGGAAAGCTGAGCCACACACCACCCCCCCCGTCGTGTGTCCTAACTTCAAACAAGACTTGGCTTCCAAATTATGCGTTGATATGCGCTGTATCAAATGCGAGGACGATTAATATTATTATTATATTTTCCTGGGGCCTCCCCTCAAGTTCAAAGCGCGCCTCTCACCTCGAAACTTTGACCGCACTTACGGTCATCTCTCGCGGCTGTTTGAGGGACGCTGCTGTGCGCAGTCGGTTGCCTGGTTTCCATCGCACATTACACAGTCGGTCCACTTTACAATGTGTTCCGTGAAGCGCTTCGAGACGTCTCGGCGACACGATAAGGCGCTGCGTCGAGTGTAAGGACTATTATTATTGAGATGATAAACCCACGTTGCTTAACGGACCCAGAAGTTGACGGTCTTTGTCTCTCCGTAGGACCCCGAGGACAGATATCAGCCGCCCAAGAAAGAGGTGGTGGATGAGCAAATGCCACCATACGAGGAGCAAACGCAGGAGCTAATTGATGGTAGGTAAAGCGATCAATCGTATCTTTTATTTGCTTTAATCGTTGCAGGTCGGAATTAGACCATTTCCTCGCTCCGCACTGTTTACCCAGCAGTAAGTCGGAACCCGGTTGTTAGTCGATTGGCGGATTAATTTCTGGGGGTAATAATCCCTTTGGAAAAAAAAAGTGTGGTCACTCGATCCACGACCCTTTGCGGAGACGCTGCTGAATCCTACAGTCGCTCCGCTGGACAGACTATTCTGTGAACCGCTTTGAGGCGTCTCGAAGACCTGCTCAGGCGCTGGGTCAAACGCAAAAGCTATTGTGATCCGTGCCTCCTCTGCAGCGTACAATAAAAAGCGTACGTTCGTTTCAGTGCCTTTCACCCACCCGCGACACGCAAATTGAATGAGTGTAACCTTGCACGTGAATGAATGCACCGTGAGGTTTAGAGACCTCATCTGTGACAGAGAAACTGTCAAGCGTTGCTTCTGCAGCCCACAGATATTTCTCAAATAGGGCATCCATGTATAATTCTCCTCTTCCCCCCCCCCACCCCCACTTTGAGTACCAACTGCCCCAGCAGTGATTGAGATGAGAGCTGACACCTCATCAAACATTTAAGTGCTGTTTGTTTTCCCCCAGGCTCTTTCCCTACGACGTAAGTGGGAACCTGCAGTATCACAGTCCTTCCGGCCCGGTGTGCTCTTTGCATATTCCAGGGTGATCCCAACAAGCCGGCCCGAGGGCCGCATGCGGCCCCCACCCCCCTCCATCTCACCTGGCCCCGCCCGCTCCCTCCGTTCCCCGATAACCACGTCTTCGGGACGTCTCAAAGCGCTTCACGGGATATAACGTTGAGTGCAGTGACTGTATATTCTGTGGGTGAAACGCGGCAGACAATTGCCCACAGCAGTGTCCCCACAAACACACACAGACAGTTGTGCAGTGAGCGACCATCTGGATGGGAAAACGCCAAAATATTGCTTATGCTCATGCACGGATGTTTCTCAAATAGAACGACTGGTTAGACCGCTGTATAAATGCAAGTTGTTGTTGCTGGGGGTCTGGCGCTTGGTTGGGCGGTGCTAATGCAAAGTGATAAGCAGATTTGTGGAGTGGGGCAAGTGGAATCTCCCTGTAGCTCAGGGGTTAGAGCCCTCGCCTTGCAAGCGAGAGAGAGGACCCGGGTTCGATTCCCCGGCGAGTCAGGTCAGGGAGAAACCTTAGGCAATTTTTCTTATTCCACGCGCGCACACACACACGCGCGCGCGCCTCTGTTTACCGAGTAGTCGGTAGGAACCCGCTTGTTAGTCGATTGACGGACGGCTTTTCCGGAGGTAAATAATCCCTTCGGTCACCCAGTCCACCACTTGTTTGCGCGGGCGCTGCTGTGCGCAATTGGCTGCCGCGTTTCGCCCACAAGACCGTACGGTCACTCCACTTCACAGTACAATCAGTGAAGCGCTTTGAGACGTCTCGAAGACGCGACGAGGCGCTGCAATCGAATGCAAAGATTATCCTTACAACTGGATCAATTGAGTGAACTGAGCCGGGTGCCTTGATCTCTTTAAGTTAGTATAATTTATCTTCCGCTTACTTCCTTTCTCCCGACCCTAACTGTTGTGATTTCACACCCGGCCCCATCTGTTCTCACTAGATCTTCCTCCTCCATTCCTTTCCTTTGTGAAAACTGCGGCAAAGCCGTTTGCTTTATTATCTCCTGTGAGCTTCCCCCCCCCCCCCCACCCCCACCCCACCCCTACTTGCCATCCCTACTTCAGAGCTTCTTTTGCAGTGATATCAATGGCAAGCTATATCACGCGATATACGTCCCCCTCCCTCGCCTCCTCTTCGACCGTGCGTTCGGTCACCTGTCCCCCCCCCCCCCCCACTCCTCCCCGATCCCAGCTCGGTTCCGAAACACTGCCATTTTGTGCCATTTTGTTTTTGTTGTTGTCGGGCAGAGCCCTCGCCTCGCAAGCGAGAGGACCCGCGCGCACACACACGCACACGCACACACACACACACGCAGTCACACACAACGCAGACACACGCACCTCTATTTACCAGCAGTCAGCAGGAACCCGGCTGACCGCTCTCTGCAGGGTAATTAACAATCCTTTTTTTTAAAAAGAAATAAAAATGAATAATAATTCGGTCACTCAATCCACGGCTGTTTGCGGGGGGGACCCCACTGGGCTCAATCGGCTGCCGCGTTTCGCCCACAAAAATCCTGCAGTCACTACACTTGACAGTGGGGTCCTGCGGAGCGCTTCGGAAGACGTGACAAGGCGCAGTATCAAATGCGAGGATTATAAGGATAGGCCGCAGAGCTTTTGCTGACCGTATTCCCAGCAAAGCTGCTGCCGCAGCGAAAAAGAAAAATGCTGGCAGTGTTTTTTTTTTTTATCCGCTTTCTGCTTCCGTGCCTTTTCTTTTCTTCATCTTTCGCTTTTAAACACATCAAAGGACAGACAGACAGACAGACAGGTCAGGGCTGAGCCAGAAGCTGGTACCAACGTTTATCCTTGTGCTGGGATTTCAGGCGCTCTCTCTCTCTCTCTCTCGCTCTCTCTCTCTATCTCTATCTGCAATAGTGACCCAGATTTCAGCGAGCACCAGCGCGGACACCAATCCAGGCGTCATATCCGAAGAGATTTCTCTCCTCTTCTCGGAAGTTTTTAACCAGGCCTACACTTTACAGAGATACCCATCTCACCACCGGGCACACCTCTCGCACTCACACACCACGCTCTCGCACGCTCACACACACACACACACTCGCAAGCGCACGCACTCTCGCTCACGCACTCTCGCTCACACACACACACACACACACTCACTCGCACACGATCTTGTGCGCACACGCTCGCACACGCGCGCACTCACACGTGCCTGCTCTCTCACGCAAAAGCAAGCGTTTGCAGACACTTGCACACGCTAACCGTTACGCAACAAGACTTCCCAGGAAGGAGTATTTATTTGAGGTCACAGCTGCTGAGACGAGACCGGACCTGTTTGCTCAATGACAGCGTAAAATAATCCTTGCGCTTGACACAGCGCCTTGCCACGTCCTCGAGACGTCTCAAAGCGCTTTGCGGCAGTGAAGCGACTGCGCGTTCTGTGGCGTCCCACAGTTCTGCTGCAGTGAGTGGGTGAATGAATGGGAGAGTGGGGAGTGAGTGGGTGGGTGGGCGGGCGGGCGAGCGAGCGACTGGGCAAGTGAGTGGGAGAGCGGGCGGTTGGGAGAGCGAGGGGGTGGGAGAGCGAGCGAGCGAGGGGGTGAGTGTGGGAGCGAGCGAGTGAGCGTGCGAGCATCTTAACGACGTGTGAAAGTCTAGCAGTCACACGTTGGCCCCTTTCACACCTGCTTCTCGACAGCTTTCTCTCTCCCCCCCCCACCCCACCCCACCCCCCCACCCCGGCTCTCTCCTCAAATTAGAGGGGAAGTCATGTCTGCTAGACTCCTCGCTGGGAATTGCAGTCAGGAACTGCCTTCCTTCAGAGCTTAAATCCCCCCCTCCGCCCCCCCCCACCCCACCAACAGTAAACACAGCAAATCTCTTCCCCGCTCACGCACACAGGCAGCTGATCGAAGGAAGGAGCCGTAGAGAGGGAGGGAGGGGGAGAGAGAGAGAGAGAGAGAGTGGAAAATAATTCGACAGCTGAAGTCGACCGAACGTGTCTTGTTTATCGCCGGATTTCTTCCCGGCCCACTTAACCGCGGGGAAAACCTCAACGACAGCAACGGCGCGGCGACACGTGTAAAAGCGCCTTTCGTGTCGGGAGGACGTCCCAAGGCTCTGGGCAGTCGAGAGTCTCGGCCCCGAGCTGGGGGTCGGGGAGCGTGGCGGGGTGGGGGGGAGGAGGGGGTGAGGGCAGGGCTGGGGGGCGGAAGCAGGGAGATCGAAAACACGGTCGAAGAGGAGGCGAGGGGCGGGGGGCGAGGCGGAAGGGACTGCTGGGTGGCGTTCCGGAGGGTGGGGGTGGCGCAGAGTGGCGGAAATCCCGACCGCCAACAGTGGGATGAGCGAGGCGGGGGGCGAACGTGGAGCCTATTGATGACCTAGAACAGGGTGGTCTCCAACCCCCCCCTCTGTCGCCACTGCAGGACTCGTGTTGGTGTTTTGCCCCCCCCCCCCCCCCCCCCCCCCCCCTCCCCAACTTCAATCACAGGCCATGTCCTCGCGTTCTGCTGGTTCAGTACAAGAGGAGAGACAGGTTATTATGTTAAGTGACTGGCTGGCTGGCTGGCTGGCTGAGTGACTGTGTGTGTGAGTGAGTGACTGTGTGACTGACTGTATGTGGCTGAGTGACTGTGTGTGTGAGAGAGACTGACTGAGCGAGTGAGTGACTGTGTGACCGACTGTGCATGAGACTGAGTGACTGTGTGAGTGAGTGACTGTGAGTGAGTGAGTGACTATGACCGACTGTGCGTGAGACTGTGTGAGTGAGTGACTGTGTGAGTGACTGTGAGTGAGTGAGTGAGTGAGTGACCGACCGACCGACCGCGTGTGTGACTGACTGAGTGTGAGACTAAGTGACTGTGTGAGTGAGTGACTGTGTGACCGACTGTGTGTGTGTGTGTGTGTGTGTGTGTGTGTGTGTGACTGACTGAGTACGGGGAGCTGATGTCATTCTCTCGGAGGGGCAGCAGGTGCTGGATACCAGCCGGGGGGAATCGAATATCGCTTCATTTTCCGACCCAAATTGCCGGCTGTGTGTTTGGGAGCTGTTCTGGCTCTGACGCCCCGGCCGGCCTCCTGCGATCACGAAGCTATATACACTTGAGACCCATTTACGAGAGAGAGAGAGAGAGAGCGAGAGAGCCTTCTAAACCACTCGGAACAATGAATTTTCCTTTCAGAACGCTGGCGCTGCCTGGTGGCTCCCAATTCCCCTCATTATCTTTAGCCTCCTTTCAGGCACTTAATTGCTCCCTCCCCTCATTATCGCCTTCCCCTACAAAGACCTCTTGACTGCCATCCCAATTTTGGCGGCTATCCGTGGCGCCGTTTTGACTGTGCGACGCGATGTACTGTAACATAATACACCGGTAATTAATTCTCTCAAAGACCTTGTTTTGTGTCCCTCACCGGCCCAATCTCTTCCCCCCCCCCCCCCCCCCACACACGTATACACACGCGCGCTTCCTTTCTCCGCCGCCAGTCGTAATCGGCCGTTTGAAAACATTCTTAGCGTAAAAGCAACCGAGGGGGAATCGTGTTTGATTCCAGGGCAGGGTCAGGGCGAAACGTTGGACGTGTTTCCTTACTCGGCACGCTCACAAGCACGTACACGTGCACACACGCATACGTGGGCGCGTACACACTCGCGCGCGCGCCAGCGGTAAGTAGGGACCCGCTTGCCAGTCGATTGGCGGATCGCTTTGATGGGGTGGGCGGTGGGAGGGGAGGTAATAATCCCTTCCAAAATAAAATTTAATCATAATTTGGCCGCTCGATCCACGACTGTTCGCGGGGACGCTGCTGCCTGAGGTATCGCCCTGACCCACCCGGGAATCGAACCCGGGTCCTCTCGCTTGCGAAGGCGAGCGGTCTTAAGCCACCGAGCTGCCGGACTCGGTCGTACATATGCCAGTCGGGCTCCCGCCATATTTACCGCCTGGCGTTTTGCTTCCGCAGCCGCCGATCGAACTCGAAGTGCTTTCTCGGAAGCGGAGAAATCGTTGAAAGACCTCGAGGATTCGATCAGGTAACAAATTAACCGTCGCGTCTGTCCGTCGCCCATCGAGCCAGCGTTTCGCAGGATTTAATAATAACGACAACCCTCACACCTCCGACGCGGCGCCTTGTCACGTCTTCGAGACGTCTCAAAGCGCTCCGCAGGTCGCGCTGTAAAAGTTTCGTGGGCGAAACGCGGCAGCCGATTAATTAATCGCAGTGTCCCCACAGACCGTCGTGGATTGAGTGACCTTTTTGCTAATTAACCATTTGCGGTTCGGCGAACGCCTCAAACTACACACACGCCCCTCTTTATTTTTGCCGGAAGTCCTGTAACTCGGTGGTTAGAGCACTCTCCCCGTAATGGAGAGGACCCGGGTTCGATTCCCGGGTGGGTCGGGGCGAAACGTTTCCTTACTGCTCGTGCACGCACGCACGCACGCACGACCCTGTTTACCCAGGAACCCGGTTGTTAGTCGATCGGCGGATCACTTTCCGGGGGCGTAATAATCCCTTTTTTTTAAAAAAATAATAATAATAATAATTTGGTCACTCAATCCAAGTGCGGGTTGGGATTACATCTTGCAATATATTCAGTGAAGCGCTTTGCGACGCTGAATTAAATGCGAGAATCATTATATCTATATGTACTACACGGCACCACCGAATCACCCCGACAATAATAGACTGTCGAAGGGTTTGCCGTGTTAAAAGTCTTCTCGTTACTAACGGGCACGACAGCCAGAGGTGAGACCGGACAAGGAGAGGTTTATTCACCCGGAGAGCTTTGAGGGTCTGGGATGCCCGGCTTGAAAGAGGCGTCCCGGGCAGGGTGGGCCGAACGGCCTCCTTGAACGCCCGTGAGAATGCGCTGCGGTCAGCAAGCCACCGCGCTCGCCTTAACTGTTCCCGTGGCCCGCTCTGTCTTACAGGAGCATCGAGAAGGAGCTCACCATCGACTTTGGGCCCTACGGAGAGTTTGCCTACTTGTTCAGCCAGTGCTACGAGATGAATACGAACGAGTGAGTTTAAAAACGCCGTCGCTTCCTCTGTCCGGGGTCCGCTCCCCCCCGCAGCAACAACACAGCGATGGTCAGCGTCGAGCCGGTGGGGTGGGTGGGGGGGCGGGGTGCGGTAGGTGAGGGTGACTGTAGGCGTAGGTCGAAGAGGTTAGAGAAAGGGGGAGGAAGGTTGGGGCCGAGGGGGAGAGAGGGAGAGCGTTCTCGGGAGTTTCCGGGGCGTAGCGTGAGAGTGCGACCCTCGGGGCGGAGGGAGCGAGGGACGGGCGGGAGGCCGGAGGAAGCGGGTTGGGGGGGAGTTAACGGGCGGGAGAGGTCGGGGGGGGGTGGGTGTGTAGTTGTGTGTGTTGTGGGTGCGGGTGCGCGTGTGTTGGTGGGTGCGTATGTGCGCGTGTGAGTGAGTGCGTGAGGTGAGTGTGTGTGCGTGGGGTGTGTGAGGTGTAGCTGTTGCGTGTGGGTGAGAGGTACTATCAGGAACTGAGCAAATTCTTCTCTGATCACGGTAAATTCACAAGAAATGGAGTGGGGGGTGTGGGAGTGGGGGTTGAGAGTGGGGGGGGGTGAAGAGTGGGGTCTGTGTGGGTGGGGGGGACGGACGTGTGTCTAGAGGATGGAGCGGCGGGGGGGGGCGTGTGGTGGTGGGTGAGTGTGCGGGGTGTTAGCGTGCATGTGTGCGGGTGTGTGGGGAGAGAGTGGGGGGTGCGGGAGGGAGAGCAGGTGCGTGTGTGTGTGTGGTGGAGGGAGCGTGTGTGTGTGTGCGCGCGGGGGGTGTGTGTGTGTGCGCGCGTGTGTGTGTGGTGAGAGAGCGCGACGTGCGCTGAATACCTACCGTGGCGTTGTGTGCCCACTTTACCAGCGGTTCGTAAATTACTCCTTTCAACTCACCCGGTGGAATACCTTTCCCCTTCAGTGGGTGGGGGGGGGGGGTGTGTGGGGGGTGGGGGGGGGAAGGTGGGAGAGAGAGAGAGAGTCAGAGAGTTAGGGGCTGGAGGTCGCTATTCACATGTAAATGCATGTGTTCCTCATTGTCCACGGCCTATTCATCGTTCCCTTTGGCGTTTATGGCTGAGGAAGAGCTATTTGTGTATATGTGTGTGTGTGTGTGTCTGTGTATCTGTGTGTGTGTGTGTGTATGGGTCTGAAATGCTGTACGCTGTCCAGCGCCTTGGGACGTCCCCCCGACGTGAAAGGCGCTATACAAGTGTAATCTTGTTGTTGGTGTTGTCTGTGCGTGCGTGTGTGTCTGTCTGTGTGTGTCTGCGCTTGTGTCTGTCTGTGTGTGTGTGTGTGCATGTGTCTGTCTGTGCGCGTCTATGTGTGTGTCCGTATGTGTCTGTCTGTGTGCATGTGTGTCTGTGTGTGTGTGTGTGTGTCTGCGTGTTTCTGTCTGTGTGTGTCTGTCTGTGTGCGTGTGTCTGTATGTGTGTGTCTGTCTTGCGTCTGTCTGTGCGTCTGCGCGTGTGTCTGTCTGTGTGTGTGTGTATGTGCATGTGTCTGTATGTGTCTGTCTGTGTGTGTGTCTGTGTGTGTCTGTCTGTGTGTGTGTGTCTGTGTGTGTGTGTATGTGCATGTGTCTGTCTGTGTGCGTGTGTGTGTCTGTGCGTGTGTGTGTCTGTGTGCGTGTGTGTGTCTGTGTGTGCAGTGCCGATTGACTTTGGTCAGGACTGGGTGTGGCTCGAGAGTGGGCAAGTGATAGATTAAACGCGGCTCGATTTATACCCGCACGGCCCCCGATTCCAAGTGATTCCGGTTCTCTCGATGCCCATCGATAGGAAAACGAGGAAAGTGCGTCATTGACTGCTTTCTGTTTTTAACGCCCACCCCCACCCCCCACCCCCCCCACCCCCCACTCTTCCTCTCGTGTTTATCTTCTGCGACTGCTGAAGAAAACTGCTTCTTTTTTCCTCTGTGCTGCCTTCAAGCTTTGCGAGGTCAGATCCCTGTGGAAATCTCCCCCTCCTCTTTCCTCCCACCCCCCACCCCCCACCTCCCAGGCCTTCCCCCCCCCCCCCCCCCACCACCACCTCGCAGTTTGCTGCTAGGATGCGAAACATGCATAAAATATGGCCACACTGTGGTGGATGAACAGCAGGGGAGGCTTTTTAAACCCAAGGCATCCCTCTGTGTGAAAATGAGCGGTTGGACAATGAGGCGGCAGCAGCGCACACACACAAAACACTCACACACGCACCCACAAACACACACGCACCACATACACACACACACACACACACCACACACACCACACACACCACACACGCGCGCAAACCCCGGCCTCAACCTCCCTCTCGTTCTCAAGATGATTGCGCTCTGCATTTGTCACCGTCCCTTCACATTTCAGGCCATCGGTACGTGTTGCAGGTGTCAGTGACACACACAACACCCCCCCCCACCACCACCAATACCCCCCCCCCCACCCCCTCCCCACCACCACCACTTAGCAAGTCAGGCAGCATCGATAGAGAGAGAGAGAGAGAGGAAGAGTCGTGGACCCGAAACGTTGACTCGCTTTCCTCATCAGGCGCCGCGCAAGGATTATTATTATTATTATTTTGTAAAATGTCTTACCGTTTTTTTTCTCCCCCCTCCACCGTTTCTTGCAGATATGTTTACAGACTCTGCCCCTTCAATAAAGTAGTGCAGAGGCCGAAACACGGAGGTACCGAAACCAGCCTCGGGTAAGCTTCAGCTTCGGAGTGGCTCGGGGGGCAACCGGGGGAAGAGAACGGTTGAAAAGCGGAGCCGGTGGTTCGAGCCCTCGCCTCGCAAGCGAGAGACAGAGAGAGAGAGAGAGAGAGAGAGAGAACCCGGGTTCGATTCCCGGGCGGGTCGGGGCGAAACATTGGGCAAAAAAATTCCTCAATCCACAAACACACGCACACGCGCACACCACACGCGCACACGCCTCCGGTTACCCGGCAGCGAGGAGGAACCCGAGCGTTAAGTCGATTAGGGCGGATCGCTTTTTCCGGGGATGATAACCCCTTCCGAAAAAATAATTCGCTCGCTCAGTCCACGGCTGTTTGTGGGACAGACGCCCACCCCACCGGGCGCAATTGGCCGCCGCTTTTCGCCCCACAGAACGTGCGCTCGATTCGCTTGGCTCGGAAGGTTGTTTTTGCGGCCCTGACCAGCGGTCGTCGTGAAACACGGGACGTGGACCCATCTCACCGGCCCTCCGGTCACGCGCGTTACGGGGAGACTTCTCCTGAAGGCATTCGTTCAGCCCGAACGCTGCTCGAAAGCGTGTCCCACCTGCGCCCGCGTCTGCCCTGCGCGTTACGCGACGAATACCGGTTCTCTAAGCCTAGGACTGCTTGATGGAGAGCGAGAGAGAGAGAGAGAGAGAGCGAGAGCATTTTTCTTTGACCTTGGGAAGCTTTCATAACTTAACGTAGATTTTTTTTTGTGTGCGTTCCCCCCCCCCCCCCCCCACCCCCACCCCACGCCCACACCTCTCCCACCCTCGCTTCAGAATGCAAGCGAATCTCCCATCACTTGCTTTGCAACAGCCCCCCACCCCCCCCCCTCCCCACCGAACGCGCCCCCTCCTCCTTTGTCCTTCGTCACTCGCTGTTTCGGAAACAACACACGGTTTGACATTAGGATGTCCAAGGTCTCTTGGAAATGCTTTGAAAAAGTGAGAAGCCTTAAATATTTAATTGTTTTTTTGTTCCTTCGCTGAACAACCTTGACAGCTAATTTGTGCGTGTGTAGGTGTGTAGGTGTGTGTGTGTCGGTGTGCGTGCGCGCGCGCGTGCGTGTTGGTGTGTGTAGCCGAGTTATTGCGCATGTGTGTGTGTGTTGGTGTGTGTAGCTGTGCTAGTGCGCATGTGTGTGTGGGTGTGCGTTGGTGTGTGTAGCTGAGTTAGTGCTCGCGTGTGCGCGGGTGTGTGGGTAGGTGTGTGTTGGTGTGTGTGTGTGTGTGTCGGTGTGCGTGCGCGCGCGCGTGCGTGTTGGTGTGTGTAGCCGAGTTAGTGTGCGTGTGGGTGTGTGGGTGTGTTGGTGTGTGTAGCTGTGCTAGTGCGCATGTGTGTGTGGGTGTGTTGGTGTGTAGCTGAGTTAGTGCTCGCGTGTGCGCGGGTGTGTGGGTAGGTGTGTGTTGGTGTGTGTAGCTGAGTTAGTGCGGGTGTGTGGGTAGGTGTGTGTTGGTGTGTGTAGCGTGTTAGCGCGCGCGCGTGTGGCTGTGTGTGTGTTGGTATGTGGGTGTGCGTTGGCACATGAAGGAATCTGTTCTGTCAAAAGATTCCATCCTTCGGGTGAGATGTTAAACTCTGGAACTGTACCCCGCAATCCCTCCGCCTCGGTCTGTGTGCCCTCGAGGTTAGGAGGTTGAGGGGCTGATCTGATCGAGGTGGGGAGGGGGTGGTGGGGGGTAATAATCTGACCGGGTCTCTTTTGTCCCGTGCAGTCAGTGGGGGTCGTGGAGCGGGCCGGAAGGCAGCAAGTTCAGCGCCATGAGGTACGAGCACGGCACAGCCTGCTGGCAGGGCCCGAGCAGGTCCACTTTGGTAAGGACCGTCCATCTCCAGAGACCCTCCCCATCTACCCCAACCTCCCTCCCTTTACACCCCCCCACCCCCCAACTCAGACGCCACCATTGCCAAGCTCTCTGGGGTGGGGGAGGCTGTGTAATTGCAAGTTGTTGTTGTAAGTATAGCCTCACGACGACGATGATGATGATGTTCGGGAGGAATTGGAGGAGAGAAGGGTCGGAAGGTGCAGTCCCTGTAGCTCGGGGTGGGGGTGGGGGGTGGGACGGGGGGGGTTTGAGCTCTCGCGTCGCGAGTCGAGAGAGGGAGAGAGAGAGACCCGGGTTCGATTCCCGAGCGGGTCAGGTCAGGGGCGAAACGTTGGGCAAGTTTCCTTACTACACACACGCAGACGCACACAGACACACACACGCAAACACAGATACACACACCCACCCACCCCCACAGACACACACACACACACACACACACAGACACACACCTCTGCTAACCCAAGCGGGAACCTGGTCGTGAATCGACGGGCTTTTGCGGGCGATAATCCCTAATAATAATAATAATATTATAATAGTCGCTGGGCGCGATTGGCTGTCGCAATTCGCCCACGAGACACGCGCAGTCACTCCACTTGACGGCAAGTCCCGTGAAGCGCTTTTGAGGCGACGAGAGCCCAAATCCCTTTGGACTGTCCAGCCCCTCGGGGGGGCGCCCCTTCTCCTCCACCGCCCCCCCCCCCCTCCCTCCCTCCCCCTGATCAACGCCGTGTCATCCCATCAGGTTAAGCTGACGTGCGGCAAAGACACGGCGGTGCTGTCCACCTCCGAGCCCAGCCGCTGCGAGTACCTGATGGAGTTCACCACCCCGGCCTTCTGCCAGGAGCCGAGCGAAGAGGACCACACGGACCACGACGAGCTTTGAGGCTCAGGCGAGTGGAGTCGCGTCGCGTCGCGAGCCGCCGTCTCCTCTCCTCTCCTCTTCCTCTCCGGCCGGGGAAAGCCCTCGCAGTGAAGCCTGACCTTTGCTGGGTCTGTCTCTGTCCCCCCCATCTCTCTCTCTCTCTCTTTGCTCCTATCTCTGTCTATGTCTCTCTCTCTCTCTGTCTCTCTCTACTTGTGTCTCTCTCTCTGTCTACTTGTGTCTCTCTGTCTCTCTACCTGTGTCTCTCTCTGTCTATTTGTGTGTCTCTCTCTCTCTGTCTCTCTCTCTGTGTCTCTCTCTCTGTCTACTTGTATCTGTGTCTCTCTCTCTGTCTACTTGTATCTGTGTCTCTCATTCTCTGTCTCTCTCTGCGTCTCTCTGTGTGTCCCTTCTCCAACTCTCTACTCCTCTCCCCCCCCCCCCCCCTTTCTCTCTCTCTCTCTCTCTCTCTCTCTCTCTCTCTGGTCACTTCAATCCACGACTTGTTTGTGGGGACCTCGCTGGGGCGCAATTGGCTGCCGCCTTTCGCCCACAGAAAATGCAGTCGATCCACGTTACAGCGTGTCCTGCGAAAGCGCTTTCGAGACGTCTCGAAGACGAGATGAGGCGCCGGGTCAAAAATGCCAGGATTATTATTATTATTACTAACCTCTCCTTTCTCTGTGCAGGTCGTGTAGAGATGAAGAGGAGACCAACATGGCAGATGGCTGGTGGGTGCCACAGCACTGTTAATTCAGCAGACACCTCACCTACCCCCCCCCCCCCCCCCTCCCCCAACACACGCTCATCATCTTGTTACTAAAGTGGACCCTTTCCCCTCTCTCTCCCCCCACCCCCCACAACATGTGTCCGGAGTGCGCTCCGAATCCAGCACATCCTTAAACCCACTGACAACTCTTCACTGAATCAACTCTTAAACATTGATTGTAGTGGCCTGATTGCCTGCCAACTGTGACCAAAATGTCCTTTACCCTTGCGCTGTCTCTCTCTCTCTGTTTTTCTCTCCCTCTTTCTCTCTCTCTCCCCCCTTCCTCTCTCTCTCTCTCTCTCTCTCTCCCCCACACTCCCTCTCTCTCTGTAACTCTTTAGCGTTGACAGTTTTTTTTTTCTTTGCAAAGGACGTCTTACAACCATTCTTTTTCACGTCGAAAAGGAAGGTCGACGTCTTCTCCGCCCGCCCGCCCGCGCGCACGCACGCCGGCCCGCCCGCGCGCGCGCACGCAAGTCACGTCAGGGCAAGGGTGAAACTCTCTTACGGCGAGAGGAGTCTGCGCGCCAGAGTCCCGAGTTTGGAGGGTTTTTCGCGCTCATTTTCCAGATCAGAAGCTCGAGTCATCTCCCTTTGGTTCCCCTCTCACCGCGACATCGCATCCTGTCTCCCTGCGTCGATGGAAATTGATCCCAGCGCAACAGTCGGGATTAATGTGGCCGTTTCCCTCCCCCCCCCCACCCCGAGTCAGTTGCGCCTTGGGTGGTTTTGCTGACGGCTTCAGCAGCTCATCCCTTTTTTTTCCCCCTCGGCCCCTTGCCTTTGGCGGAGAAGTTCTTCTGTGCGTTTCCTCTCCTCCGTTCTTCCAAACCCTCCCGCGGGGGAGAGTTTTCCTCCGTCGTGAGCCAACAGCTGCTTACTTCTCTTCAACCCGTCTCCCACTCCGCACCGCAAAGTGTCCACCGTACATCACGCAGTTCACTTACGCCTCTTCTGTTTTATCTCTCCCCCCTCCCCTCCCCTCCCCTCCCTCTCGCTCTCTCTCCCTCCCTCCCTCCCTCGTCTTTTCCGTAACGAATCATGTCAAAGAAAAAAAAAGAAGAAAAAAATTCGAATAGGATTGTTCTATTTTTTTAACCGCCCCTCGGTCCCCCCTCAACAAAAAAAAAATCATCTTTCTACCTTTAACGGTGACCAAAAAATATATATATTTTTCTCCCACTTTCTCCTGGTTTCCTCCCCACCCCCCCCTCCCCGCACCGCCCCGGTAGAATATCACGTAAACTGTTCACGATAATGTCCGCCCGTGATTCACAAAGTGCGCGTCGTTTAAATCAAAACAAAAACCCTGTGGTAATGAAAGGAAATAAACTGGTGAATGGAAACTGGAGAGGATTCTGCTCGAGCTTTGCTCGTCGTGTTTCATGAGCGTCGTTTACGGAGGGTACTCTCTCTCTCTCTCTCTCTCTCCCTCCCTGTAAACTCGGCGGTTAGACCCCTCGCCTCGCAAGCGAGAGGGACCCGGGTTCGATTCCCACGTGGGTCGGGTCAGGTCGGGGCGAAAGCGTAGGCGAATTTCCTCACCCCACACGCGCACAGACACCGACGCGCGCGAGCGCACGCGCACGGACGCCTCCGTTTACCTCGCAGCAATTACTCGGTCGATCGAGTTGGATCGCTTTTCCGGGGGTAATCATCCTTTTTTTTAAAAAAAAAAGATCCGCTCACTACCGTTTGGGGGAAACACTGCTGTGTTTCGGCCGCAGAATGCACCGTAAAGTCACTGCGCTGTACGGTACGTTCCGCGGAAGCGCTTTGGAGACGTCTCGAAGACGTGATAATATAATAATAATAATAATAATAATAACTCCTTGCATTTGATACAGCGCTTTTCCCGTCTACAGGATACCCTGTAAAGCGAATTGACTGGGAGTTTGTGGGCGAAACGCGGCAGCGTTTTAACAAGAGGGAGCGACTTAATCAGATTAAAAAGCACAGATAAGGCGCTATATTATTGCCATCGCTGTCGCGCTCTTTCGCTTCGTGCGTCGAGACCGACTCCCTTCGAGCGGTGACGCTAAGAGTAATAATCCTCACATTCGACCCGGCGTTCGAAGCGCCTCCGGGGATTTCCCGTTCAATATAAGTCTCCGGACGGGGAAGAGGCTTTCTCGAGTGACCCGATCGGTTGTGTAGAGTGCGACGAACCGCAACACAGCGCAACGACGTCGGACCCAGCGCCTCGTCGCGCCTTCGAGAGACGTCTCGCAGCGCCTGGCCGCGGGGGCGGAGTGACCGCGCGTTTTTGCCCGCAGCGGGTTCGCGCGCAACCGGCCGCCGCGCTTCGCCCACAAAATGCGCGGTCGGTTCGCTTTTACAGTGCGTTTTCCCCCCTCGGGAGAGCCCGACTCGTTCGCTGTGTGTGTGTGTGTGTGTGTGTCAGTCGCTCTCTCTCTCTCTCTCTCTCTCGTCTCTGAGTCAGAAGGTTGTGGGTTCAAACCCCTTCCGACACATCAGGGACTTGGCATCACACGGTCTAAGCCGAGGCTCCAGGGCAGCGCTGGGGGGGGTGGGGGGGGGGGGGGGGGCGGAGGGAGTCGGCGTTGCATTGCCGGAGAAGACGCCGTCCTTCGGGTGAGACGTTCAGCCTCACTCGCTCCCCGTCTGCGCCCCGTCTGCGCCTCGTCTGCGCCCCGTCGGGCGGACGTCAAGGACCACAGCGGAGACATCGTCAACGGGGCAGCGAAACCCCCCCCCCCCCCCAACCCCCGCAATTTTTGGTTGCGAAATCTTAAATTACAAATAAAGAGGGTCACAATACTGTAGTAATAATAATAAAAATAATAATAATAGCGATAACAATCCTCGCATTTGACGAGACGTCCCCAAAGCGCTTCGCGCTGTAGAGCGGAGTGACTGCGTTTTGTGGGCACTCAACAAACAATTTACATCCGCACAGCGCTTTTCGCCCGAATTATTCTCTCTGCGAAGGGCTTATGACTCCCCCACCCCCCCCCCCCCACCCCCCCCCCACCCCCCACCCCCCACCCCCCACCCCCCACCACCCCACACCCCCGCGGGGAAAAGCGATCCGCCGATCCACTGCCGACCGGGTTCCCGCCGACTGCTTCGCTGAGAAGGAAGAGCAACGCAGAGCGAGACTTTCAATAAGATTCTGAACTTTTATTGTTTTGGCATTTAAAGTACAAATTATCAGACAAATTGAATGAAAAATGCTCACATCTTCCACATGTGTAGTAATCCCAGTAATAAATAGGCTAAAACTATCCGTTGTTTTTTTTTTTTCTCCCACCCCCCCCGCCCGCCCGCCCCCAACATGAAAATCGGCCACAAGTTATCATCCAAATAAATATTAAGTTAAAAGGATTGTAAGAATGATTTTTTTTTTTTAACCCCTCATTTTTCCCGCCGCCCGCCCCCCCCCTCCCAACTAAATACGTCAAAGAGAAATAAAATCTGTACCTCACAACTAACACTTGTTGTACCTTCACTCCGCGGTGTATTGGTTTATGCTAAAAATATGGATCTGCCCTCTCTCTCTCTCTCTCTCTCTCTCTTTCTTTCTTTCTTTCTCTCTCTCGCTCCTCTATTCCCCCTTCTCTCTCTCTCTCCCTCCCTCCCTCCCTCCCTCTGCCCCCCCCCCCCCAATTTGCCTCCGCAAGGCATCCGCCGTCCACCCCTCTGCCTCTCTCGCCCGCTCAACCCTTCAGAAATTTTTCAATCAACTCTCGCGCCCGCGCGCGTCTCTCTCTCTCTCTCTCTGTGCGTCTTTCTCTCGTTCTTTCTCTTTTTCTCTCCACCCCCCCCCACTCACCCCCACCCATCCACCCCCTCCCACCCGCCCCTCGCTCCCCTTCCCACGACTAACCCCCCCCCCCCCCCCGCCCACCCGAGCGTCGCACAGGAATATAAAATGCTCCGTGAACCACTATTTGTCGGGCCCCGGGGGGAAAAGAATGAGGTACTTTCAGCATTATAGGTGTCAAATACACACGACATTAACTATTAGGATAGATTGAGAATGTAGTAACAAGACAAAAGTAATAGCAAAGTCAGGACTAGTGCTCAAAGTAACTTTCTAATACATATTCATACAAATCACAACATATCAGGTCCACTTGACTATGGATAATCATTCTTCCAAGTTTAACACCTGTTCCCTTTCAGAATAAATTAAGCTTTTTTTTATTCTCTCCCCCACCCCCCAAAAAAAAAAACCCAACCATCTTTATCGGTTCAAAATCCAAAGTTTCCCTTTTGTTCCGAAACTCTTCCGCCGAACGAAAACGTAATCATATACACAAACGACTTACGATGCAATAAATATTTAAATCCTCTGAATAAGTTAAAGCTACAGGAAAAAAAACTACGGTTTTATTTTTTTAATGATAATGCACCCCCACCCCCCGCCCGCCCCCCCCACCCCACCCCCCCACCACCACGATCCCCCCCAATCCCACCCTCCCCCCCCACACCCCCCGCCCCACCCGCCGCCCCACCCGCCAAAAAAAACAACTTTTTTTTTATTTAATAACCTAAATGGTGGCGATTTTTTTTTAAACTTGTTTTTTTTTTGTTGCGGTCTGTCAGTCAGTAAAGCTACCACAAGTTCGAACGATCATTACACGTAACATTATTGTCTTAAAACAAATAAAAAATAGTCTTTTTTTTAACCCCTTTTTTAATTTTTTCTCACTCTCTCCCTCTCCCTCTCTCTCCCTCTCCCTCTTTCTCTCTCCCTCTCCCTCTCTCTTCAAAACTATTCCTAACAAAGCACTTTCCCCCCCAAATATAACCTAAGAATTTCTGGAGAGATGCGACCACAAACAAATTAAACGACAGCGAAAGAAGCCAATAAATAAATATTAAAGTTACAAGCGACTTTTTCGTTTTATATATATATTATATTAAAAGAAACGAACCGAAAATTCTAATCGAGAACCACAATGTAATTTTCAAGGTTTTTTTTTTATTCCCGCTACGCAACCCCTCTCTCTCTCTCTCTCTCTCTCTTTCTTTCTCTCTTTCTCCCCCTCTTTCTCTCTCTCTCTCTCTCTCTTCTCTCTCTTTCTCTCCATCTCTTTCTCTGAACAGAAACCCGTGCGGTTAACACGGGTCAAAGGAAATCAGAGAGGGAGAGGGGAGGGAGGGTGGGGGGGGGGGAGGGGGGGGAGAGAGGGAGAGAGAGATAGAGAAAAAAAAATTAGAATCACCCTATGTATTTCAACATAAAATGAGTCTCTATCGTCTTTCGAAGACAAAAAAAATCAAATTGCGTGGACATCGATGGCTTAAACGT